TTTCATCGAGAAGTGAATATGACAAGTATAACATACTTTTTTTTTAATTTTAACAACCAAGTGTTTGCTTCGTTTATTCAGATCTGGAATCAATCTTGTAACATACACAAAACAACTAATCTTGTTTTTTTTTTATAAATAACATCGTACGTTAATATACCTTATTACGGTAATAAATTATTGTAAACAAATAAAATGATTTGGTTTGCAATAAACATAATGTGACGCTTAAAATTCTATTTTTTAAACAAGTTGGATTTCAGGTATATGGTCACTATGCAAGTAAATCGTAAGTCAAAGGGTAAAAAAAGAAAAAAAATATATATAAAATTTATTTGATTAAAATAAAGTTGTAGCTAGACATAAGCAGGTGCGTTTTAAAAAGAGTTCCTTTTTCTTTAATTTATGTTTATTTTTTTTTCAGCAATTTATTTAGATTTCCTTTATGTTTAAACGGGAATTCAAATGAAATGAAATATAATAATTACACCTGTCCGATCTATTTGATATGGAGTCTGATCCAATTCGAAACAGACGAATTTCTGTCCTTATTTTGGCTGCATCATATTGTTGATTGTCATTTGAAATTAAGTGAAACATAATATATGGTGGTGACCGTTTTGCTTATGATGACATTTTATGGTTATAAAATTAATGTAAGTGTATGTCTGACTTTATTTTTTTTTTGCATGATTATGAACATTGTGTGCTACATGAAAATGAGCAACATTGTGTATCATAAAGAAAAAAAATGTTAATGTCCACTGATTTTAACCCAGTAGAAATAATGCGCAAATTTGTGTATAGTACAGGAAAAACGCTCATTCGCGGATTTTAACCCAGTGGAAATAAATAACTTAACGGTGATTTTTGCCTATGAACAATGCTTTAGTCTGATTGGTTAAATGGAAACATTTTCATCCGCAGCAACAGATAGGAAAAAAATGAAATGGAAATAACGAAAGGTATTTCAAGAGAGAGAGAGAAAGAGAGGGGAAAAGCCCTTTGTCAATGAATTACATAAAACATTTGGTGGGAACGGGTACATCTGCTTTTTTTTTTTTTTTTTTTTGATAAATTAAAGCACAATTTAAACAATATAAGCTGATAGATTGAAGAACAAAAAATTCCATTTACAATTCGAAAATGGAAAACAATCATCGTGTTATCTTACTATAATTGGTCAAATTAGTCGCTCTAATTCCTTGATATATACTTTACCTCTCTCTGTTAAGAAGAAACTACTAGAAAAGATTCACCTCATGGAGTTTGGCTACCCTGAAGGTAGTATATATAATTTTTACAAATTTTTATTTAAAAAAATATGTCAGTTATGTTCTGATTAAAACATATGAAATAAAATTAACAAAACCCAAGGTGAATTATCAACAAGTGTAATAATCAGTATATTATGTATAATATTTTATTATAAGGTTAAGACATTTGTGATAAATGAAGAATTTAAACAGGTAAGAATTTGATATATTGAATAGCATTGTTAGAATGTGTTCATTCATATTTCAAGACCGAGTTAGTTACAGAAATTGGAATTAATTTCATTTTTGTATCGCATGCACTATTACATCTGACGTTCTTTATAAATTGAGTTCCTTATTATTTCAAGCATGACACGCAAAGAAGAGAAATGAAATTTAATTATTCAAAAAACATAGAGCACTGTTCTCATTTTTCAATGAAATAGACATGACTCAATGAACATTGCATTCATTTATCGGTTTAAGCATTTAAATGATTTAAATGACATTTAAATGACATTTAAATGATTTGTTTTTAAGTTTAGTAGCAGTTTTATCAAATTCAACAAACGCAACTTTTGAAAAGTAACATATTTTGTTTTGTTTGTTTTTTTTTTTAATTTTACACTAACTTATCTGATATATAATGTATGAGGCAAAATTAAAAAAAAAAGTTTTGTTATACAAACTTTATTTATTAGGAAGCTAGGGACAGCCTTTCCCTATGGATGTAATGACAATGTCGATAGTGTTGGAAATCTTGACAAGCCCGCAGTGTAATAATGTAAATGTGATGGGACTTTTTAACAATACTCAGAGACGTAAGCGTAGTCATGGACATCGTTCGTACAATAAACCTGCAATACATGACGTCTCTTTTGATTCATTACTACCTTATGTTAATCAACAGTTAGGTCTACATCATATTCCGAACCAAACTTTACTTTGTCCCTTTGAAATTTTTAAATAGTCTTCTTGAAAAGACCAAGGAACATCCAAATTTAGATTCCTCGACACCTGAATATAGGCTCGGTTCTGTGATTATGGATCTTGCACATCATAGGCTTTTTAAACCCGCACGTTTCACGGAAGAAAATGCAGCTAAAACAATCCGTCTTTTCCTTAAAGTTCAATATGCCAATAAAGGAATTGACGCGGTTAATATATGTAATATTCTTTGTCACAAAAGGGTCCAGTCTTGTATTCCACCATATTTCAAGTTAAAGACTACACCTTGTATTTCCTACAAATACACATCGACCATTGCTTCCAAACTTTTCAATTACAAAAAAACTTTACATGGCCTGGATATCGACTATCTGAAAAATAATTCCCCTTCGTGTTCATGTTCTTCTTCGCCCTATAACTATAGTCCTGCTGGACACGTTATTACTGGTGACGTAAAAATAGTTCGTAATGAGGACCTTAGATCACTTATTTTAAAAGGTCCTAAATATAGGGAACCCCGATCCTTCAACTGGCGTCGGAATTTCATAAATATTATGGATTCTGTTGAAAATTACGCCAGACGATGGGCCAGATATGAAAAAGAAGACATTGACACCTTGTCAGAATGGATTAAATGTATCAGATCCATATCAAAGTCACGTATTAAAAGATTGAGGGGCAAAATGAAAACCATATCCTTCTGTGTTCATTAAACCAGAAGTGAAAAAAGAATTAGATAGATTACACGATCAATACGTACTGGTTCCTGCCGACAAAGCAGGTAACAGCATTGTCTTCGTTTGTAAGGCTCATTATATAAATTGCATTTGAGAAGAACTTGGATTTAATTCTACAATTGGTAATCCTACTTATACATATTCTTCTCTTTCTAAGGAAGAAATTCTTCAAAATCACCTGTCAGTTTTGAATACTTTTAATATTCCCAGAGCAAAATGAATTTGAACTACCTTATATATATTGGATTCCGAAACTTCATAAGAATCCTTACAGACAAAGATACATTGCAGGTTCCAGTAAATGTTCAACCAAGCCTCTTTCGTTACTTCTCACTAAAATATTGACAGTAGTGAAGGAAAAACTTCAAGAGTACTGTACAACTATATATTCAAGAAGTGGTGTAAATCAGATGTGGATACTTAAAAATTCTAAAGAACTTTTGGACAATTTGAAATCATAAGACCTTACAAAAATCAACAGCATAAAAACGTACGACTTTTCAAAACTTTAGACACAACAATTCCCCACGACAAATTAAAATCCAGGCTTTTTAATATCATTGACAGCTGCTTCTTCAACAAAAATGGAACTCGTAAGTTTACTTACCTCGTCATTGGTCATTTGAAGAATTATTTTGTTAAAACAGATTCTGATTGCACACATAAGTACTCTGAAGTTGACATCAAGAAGATGCTTGAGTTTCTAATTGACAATATATATGTGGTTTTTGGAGACCAGGTATTCCAACAATCTATTGGAATTCCCATGGGTACAAATTGCGCTCCGTTATTAGCAGACTTATTTTTATATTCATATGAAGCAGAATTTATGCAAAATCTTTTGCGTGAAAAGAAGAAAACGACGTATTGTCAATTAATAATGATAATTTCCATTCCTACGTTGACACGATTTATCCTGGTGAGCTTGAGATAAAAGATACCACAGAGTCCGACACTTCTGCTTCATACTTGGATATTTTACTTGAAAAAGACACTAATGGTAATCTAACAACCAAGCTATATGATAAACGTGATGACTTTAACTTTTCTATCGTCAACTTCCCTTACTTATGCAGCAATATACCTTCATCACCTGCATACGGAGTATTTATATCTCAGTTGATTCGATACGCAAGAGCATGCTCTACGTATGAACAATTTCTTAAACGAGGTAAATTATTGACAAGCAAGTTGATGAAACAAGAATATCAACAGTCTCGTTTAAAGTCATCATTTCGTAAATTCTATGGTCTATACAATGACCTTGTCAGCAAATACAATTTATCATTGAGTCAAATGCTGACTGACGTTTTTCATACTAATTGTTAGTTCATTATTTATACACTGAATTGACGACGAATTTTTCCGTTATTTCCCGATCATGACAATGAGCACAAGGCAGGTGTGACCGGTCGTCAGGGGATGCTCACTCCTCCATGGCACCTGATCCCACCTCTGATGTTTCGGAGATCCGTGTTTACTCTGCTCTTATTTTATATATTTGTTTAATGGACGTTGAGATTGAATGCTGTTCGTTATTTCCATATCCTTCTCTCGATTCTTTGTCAATGGCAATCATGTGTTTATTGATAGGATTTTTTTTTCAATCGAAGATTCCTTGCGATGTAAGTATTGTTTTAATGTCAATATTATGATACAATGTATCTTTAAAATGTTGATTTTAATTTTGAAAGACGTTTTTGTAGCTGTTGCAAACGGGATCATTTAAAACTGCAGAATCATCTTTTCATTATCTTTAATAAACTTGTATTTTAGACATCATGATCATATGATCGGTGCTTTTCTACATTTATTATTTCGATTTATTCAGCCATTTCGATTCTCGTGAGGTATGTATACAATTTGTATTTTATTGTATGTTGTTTATCATCCCATAAAAAAAAAAACACTCAGATCAACGTCACCATTGTTTCGACGCCTTTTGAAAACAATGAAATAAGTGACAAAATCAAAGAACTTTGTTGTGTTAAATTGTTTCCGTTCTTTATCTATGTAATATCCCGCGGAACTACACAATCACTATTCAAAATGTATGCACAACGATTGATCAGAAAGATGGCATTCACAGGGTATTTGAACAGTCTAGCGTTTATATTTTAGGTATCAAATAAAAGATTAAGGTGTAATCTGACAACATAAACTTTTTTAAAGGATTTCTTTGAGAAAAAGTAATGAAGAGCAAAGTAAAATTTAAGTGGAGTGAGTATAGTGTCTAAGGCTTACTTTTCTTGAAATATATATCAAATAAATGGGTCATCCATTATATCAAAATTTTATATTCAAAATAAATAGAAAAATGAATATGATGCAAAATGGAATTGAAATTCGATTAAAAAATAATAGAAACTAAAAACCCTTTTCCATTCAAAAATACTCTTAGGTTAAGATCTAGTAAATGAAAGTTGCTTACAGATTTTCTTCTTCCTTTCATCTAGGGAAATGGTGAGGGACAGACTTGTACGTTTGCTTTATTCTACCAAGGACCAGAACATTGAAACCTATTAGGTATTTTATAAACCTCTTTTTACCATTTTAACTAATGTTTAATTTATTAAATTTACGAGGATTTGTTTCAAATATATCTATTTTTGCCTAGGATATTTGTCACTTTTCTCTGTTGAAATTACATATTGTATAGAATCCTGAATGCCATCTGGAAATATGTGTATAAATGTCAGGAAATGGTCAATATCTAATGACATCATGAAACAAACGAAAATACTTTAATTCTTTTTACCAAAATATGTCCGGTCTCAGCTTTTAAAAGAATAAACTTATGCTTTAATCTAGGAAATTGGTGAGGGATACACTTGTTCATTTGCCGTATTCTACCAATGAACAGGACATAGAAACACATCAGGTATTTTATAAACCTTTTTCTCATACCAGTTTTACTCTAATTTATTTGGTTAAATTCATGAGGAGTTGTTTCAAATACATCTAATTTTACCAAGGGTCGTTGCCTTTTCTTTTGAAATTTTATATTGTTTAGAATCCTGAACGCCATTTAGAAATACATGTACAAATGTTACGAAATGGTCAATATCTGACATCATGAAACAAGGAAAAATAATTAAATTCTTCTTACCAAATTATGCCCAGCTTTAGCTTTTTAAAAACAGATTATGCTTAAACTTGGGAAATTGGTGAGGGACAGACTTGTTTGTTTGCTTAAATCTACCAAAGACCAGGGCATAGAAACATGTCAGGTACTTTATAAACCTTTATTGTCCCGTTTCCACTAGTGTTTAATTGGTTGAATTTCCGAGGAGTTTCAGATATATTTATTTTCGCCAAGGGCCGTTGCCTCTCTTCTTCGCTAAAATTTCATATTGTATAAAATCCTAAACGTTATCTAGAAATACATGTACGAGGGGTTATCAAAAAGTTCGTGGACTAAGGCTATAAAATTAGAACTATGCAGTCTGTGCTTTCAAAATTTATATGGAACATAAAACAACAAAAAATAAGGACATGTTGAAAAGTTTAGCTTGATACGTTTATTATTTGCCAAATTATTATAAAATAAAAACGACATTATATGATCACCCGGCGCTGCCGTCGTTTATTTTCATGACGTCTGACAACATTATTGTTTTTTCAAAGTCCTCTTCTTCTACCTCATGTACTTTTTTGGATGAGATTCCCTGGAGCTGAGTAAGGACTTAATCCCGCTTGGTTTATATGACTTTACAATGTCATGAACAGCAGCTTTCAATGAATATAATATTCCAAATGGATTTATACATTGGGAGACATCCTCGCTTGATTGTGCCAGTATACTTTGCTTATGGGAGTTCAATACCTACAACATATGATCAACGTCATTTTTTACGCGATTCGAGTTTTCACACTTTGACTACAAATCAACATTAACTGTATATCCCTTTTCTCTCTGAATCTATTTTGACATTAAAAGACAAGTATTCTGGATGCATATTATTTCTCTGTAGCCAGTTTAAACATTTCTTAGGTCTATATAAGTTTTTTCAAGGGCAAAACGTGATAGAATGTTGAAAAAAGACCCCCCCCCCATTCCTTTTGACGTCATTTTCAAGGCCTCATTTAGTTGGATAATCCATGTAAAATTTACGATATAATTTCATAGAAATTCCAGAATGAAGTGTTAATTTCATATTTTATGGAACAATTATGTCCCGACACACACCTGAATTAATGGGATTTTTGGATGTCAAATGTTCATGTCAAAAGAGTTTTTTCTCAGTCACACATGGGTCGCAAACGTCGTTTTCGAGGTTGCGCCGACTGGACATACTATTGCTTACAAAAACAATACTAATTTATTGAAAATTAAAATTTACGATTCATGGTTTATTCTTTAGATAGAAAAGATGATGCTGAATAGATATTTCAAAATTCACTGATGTAACTAAAGCGGTTTTAATTTTATGGCGCTAGTCCACGAACTTTTTGATAACCCCTCGTATAGATATCAGGCATCATATTTACTTTCAGCTGTGATGAAATTCAGCCGTTTAAGATTCTGTCTGTAAATATGTTTTATACAGGACCACAAGGTAAACTAGTCATATGTACTAATTGTGCTATCCTGTCTAAATAAAAGAATTTATCATTATTATTATTATTATTAAGATTGGGGTACATCTACCAGACATATAGAGTTGTACTTTAGCAGCCCAAAGACACGTCTCAAGTTTCCTGACTGGAGATTTAATCTACATGTACTTCTGTATAAGGTTTGTTCTTGACGTTTTTAAATGCTATTATGTCTTCTTTGTTTAAAAGGTTCAATTTCTTAATTTCAAAATTAAATTTTGTTTAACAATTCGATCAAAATATCCTTTTATTTAAAGATGTACCTCTGAGCACCACTGGGTATGCAAAATTTTATCCTAGACCATGCGTGAAAAACATATGGATGAGTAATAATGGATCAATGATACAAAAATTTATCCTAAGCCATGCGTGATAAAAAATGGATGAGCACTTCTTGACCAGTGATGCAACATTATATTCTAGACCGTGCGTGAAAACAAAGTTAACGAGTTTACTTAATGAGTGATGGAACATTTATTCTAGATCATGCGTGAAAAATATGGATGCACGTGAGAAAAACAATGTGTGCTTTAAATATGTATCCTATCTTCTATCAGAAACTATTACAAGTGCGATTTTCCGTGTTCTCAAATTCAACAATATGACAGAGACATGCGCATTTTCCGCAAAGCACTCAACTTTACGTGTAAATCAATATCTCAAGACAATAGAAAATTACGATGGACATTTATTTTGTATATACATGTAATCATAATGCACCTGAGCCAAAGGCTCAAGTAAGCTTTTTTGATAAAATTTGTCCGTTGTCTGTTGTTTTTGTCGTTGTTGCGTCGTAAACTTTTTACATTTTCATCTTCTTCTCAAGAACCACTTGGCTAATTTCAACCAAACTTGCCACAAATAAAGTATCCTTGTGTGAAGGGGATTTGCTTTTTTTTCAAATGAAGGACCAAACCCTGTTGAAAGGGGAAATAATTGTGATTTAATAAAAAAAAATATGGCATCTTTTAAAAAATCTCTTTCCCTTAAACCATTGGGCCAAGACAGATAAACTCACTTAGAAGCATCTTCAGGCAGTGTAAATTCAAATTGTGTGTAGGGCGGGGCGGCAATGACATATCGAAGATTTACATAAAAATATACTGGGCAAATTTGGAAAAATCTTCTTCTCCAGGACCACTGGGCCATGAAAAATGAAACTCATATGGAAGCTTCCTCAGGTAGTGTAGATTCAAGTTTGTTCAAATCATGACCCCCAGGTGTGGACGGGGCCACATTGGCAGATCAAATGTTTTACATAGAAATATATAGTTTTTTTTTATCTTCCTCACCAGACCCATTGAACGAGGAAAGATGAAACGTTACCCATTTTGAAGCATCCTCAGCATGTGTAAAATCTAGTTTGTTCAAATCATGAATCCCAAGGGTAGGGTGTTGCAACAATGGCTGATCAAAGGTTAACATAGAAATATATGGGATATCTTTTTTAATTCTTCTCCAGAACCATTGGACCAGGAGAGATGAAAGTCATGCGGAAGCATGCTTTATTGATATAGCCAAAATTTCTCAAGTAATAAAAATTCTCACACCCCTTCCCCCAACAAGTAAACTTTTCAATACTGACCTGATATGTGTTTCGAACTGGCCTATTTGCTTAGGTGAGCGATATGACCCTTGGGCCTTTTGTTGTTTATATATTTCCATTTTAAGCATTCCTTTATAAAGATATTTAATTGGTAATTTTGTACAATTTTTATTCAAACCTATAATGCAATAAAAGCTTTTAGGGGTATCTGGATTGATATATTTTTTTTTTTACAATCTGTCATAACTTGGGAGATTTTGCCAGGCAAAAGGCCAGATATGAAAAAGAAGTGCATCTTTGTTTGTAAGGATTTTTATGAAGTTTCCTAATAGAATATATAGGGTAGTTCAAATTCCTTTTGGCTCCTTGGAATATTAAAAATATTTAAAACTGACATTTGAATTTCTTCCTTAGAAAGGGAAGTATGAGTGTAAGTAGGATTGTCACTTAGAATTAAATCCAAGTTCTTTTTAAATACAATTTATATAATGAGCCTTACAAACGAAGACAATGTTGTTATCTGCTTTGTCGGCAGGGACCAGTACGTACTGATTATTTAATCTACTTTTTTTTTCACTTCTGGATTATTCAACACAGAAGGATAGATGGTTTTCATACTGTCCCTAAATCTTTTAATGCTCGACTTTAACATGTATATATTTACTTCATTCTGACAAGGTGTCAATTTCTTTTTTTTCATATCTTGCCCATTTCATGTTTTCTTGTTATCTTTTTAGGTCACCTGAGTAAACTCAAGTGACCTATTGCTATCCGTTTTCGTCCGTCGTCGTGCGTCGGGCGTTGTGCTTCGTGCGTTAACATTTGAACATTTTCAGCTTCTTCTCTGCAACCACTGAAGAAATTTCAACCAAATTTTACATAAAGCATCTATGGGTGAAGGAAAAAAAATGTGAATTTCTTTATCCCTGCCCCCTGGGGTCTGTACGGTTGGTCCAAAATCACTAAAATTAAGGCAATTTTAAAAATCTTCTTCTTTACTCCTGGACATCAAGCAGTCATACTGTTTAAATGATTGTAATCAGCATTCAGTCCCCTACCAAAATTGTGGAATTCATGGTCCTGGGGTCAGGGGTTCTAGTGCTAGGGCAGGGCTAAATAAGTATATAGTGAAAATGTATCATTTCTTTGAAAATCTTCTTCGCTGCTCCTGGGTATTAAATAAACCAATTAAGTGCATAGTTATGATTAACAAGATCTAGAGTGCCTCTACCAAAATTGTGATTTTTTTAGCCCCAGGGTCAGGGGTTGAGGTGAAATGGCAGGGCTCTATTGATTATATAGTGAAAAAACATGAATTCTTTGAAAATCTTCTTCTCTGCTCCTAGGTATATGTATTAAATTAAGTAAGTGCATAGTTATGATTAGAAAGAGTGGCTCTACCAAAATTGTGAATTTTATGGCCCCGGGGTCAGGGTTTCTGGTGTTAGGGTGGGGCTGTATTGATTACATAGTGAAAATACATGCATTCTTTGATAATCTTCTTCTCTGTTCCTATGTATTAAATAAACTAATTAAATGCATAGTTATGATGAGCAAGAGTGCCTCAGCCATGATTTTAAAATGTATGGCCCCAGGGTCAGGGGTTCTGATGTTAAGGCGGGGCACTATTGATTATATAGTGAAAATACATGAATTCTTTAAAAATTTTCTTTTCTGCTCCTAGTTATCAAGTGAATTATCTAAGTGCATGGTTATGATGAGCAAACATTCCTCTTCCAAAATTGTGAAATTTATGGCGCCAGTGTTAGGGGTTTTGTTGTGAGGGCGGAGCTCTATTGATTATATTGTGAAAAGCATTGTTTCTTTCAAAATCTTCTTCCCTGCATCTTGGTATTTTAACAAGAGGCACATGGGCTTAATAGTTCACCTGAGTATCATGTAAGAATTGTCCAACAATTGCATGAATTTGATTTGTGTTTTAAACCAGAGGCCATTAAATTCAAAATTTTGAAGAGGCACCTTTGCTTATTATAACTATGCACTTAGCATGCTTCCCTTGGTTACTTAATACCTAGAGGATCAGGTAACAAATTTAAAATTTTCACTTACTAAGTTGTGCACCTATCGCGCAGGAACCACTGACCTTGGGGCCATATCTTTGAAATTTTTGAAATTTTATAAATTTTATTTCATAATGTTATTAATTAATACCAAAATGCATATTTCAAAGCATTAAATCGTTTTTAAACTATGTACCCACCCACACCAATTACCTCTATACCGGGGGGGATGGAAATTAACCATTTTGGAAGAGGCAGCTTTCTTAGACATAGATTTGTACTAAGATCAGTGGCAAAATATCCAGGAGCAAAGGAAAGTATTTTGAAAGAATTCACTATATAGAGCCCAATCCAACATAAAAAGCCCTGACTCAGGTGCCCTGAAATTCACAAATGTCAAAAAGAGGCCCAAGGACCACATCGCTCACTTGAGAAGCTTTGACCATGCGTTCTTAACCAGACCCCCCTGTAATACCTATTTTCACCCAGCGTACCACAGGGGTCTTAATTTGGACAATTCAAATTTCTATTGGGATGTCTTTTCTTTATAATTTCTCTTTACGAGAGAACCCGGCCCTTCATTTTTACAAATCCCCTGCACCCAAGAATGCTTAAGTTGTACCAAGTTTGGTTAAAATTGGCCGAATGGTTCTAAAGAAGAAGTCGAAAATGTGAAAAGTTTACAGTCAGACAGACAGCTAGACAGCCAGACGGATGGACGGACGACGGACAAAATATGATCAGAAAAGTTCACGTGAGCCTCAGCTGAGCTAAAAAGGCATCCTTCCTCCTCAAAACATTGTACATAGTTCATTGGTTTAAATATCAGGTGCAGAAAAGAAGTTCTTTAAAGAATTTTTGCATTTTTACTTAACATGTATAATCAGTACAGTCCCACCTTTACACCAGAACCTCCAACCCTGGGCCATGAAATTCATAATTTTGGAAGAGACAGCTTGTTCAACAAAACTATGTACCTGGTCAGTTTAATTCAAATTCAGGAACAGGCAAGAAGTTTTTTAAAGAAATAATTCATCTTCACTATATAATCTACTAGACTAAGTATATGGCCCCACTTTAGCACTAGAACCCATGACCCTGGGGCCATAAAATTCATAATTTTGGAAGAGGCAATCATTTTCAACTTAGCTATGCATTAGTTTATTTAATACCCATGAACAGAGAAAAAGAATTTCAAAGAAAAATTCACTTTCACTATATCATGTACATATAGCCCCGCCCTAGCAATTGATTCCTGACCTTGTGCCCATAAAATTCAAAATTTTGACAATGGCAGTCATTTTCATCTTATCTTGGTTAGTTTACTTAATGCCCAGGAGCAGAAAAAAACTTCATAGAATTAACGCATTATTACTGAATAATAAATATAGCTCTATTTTATGCAGTCATTTATGCAAGAGTAGACTTTTACCAAATATTTTGAATTTAACACAAATTATACATTATCTGTCGACCTACTATCTGAAAAGGTGATTTTACGACAATTATAAGAAAAAAAAATGCTTAAATGGCTGTAACGACGTCAACTTTTTTCCGATTATATATTTAAGCATTGAATTCATATTTTGGATGTCTTTGGACCTATAAATACATGAATACAGGAACTACTTAAGACATCAAAAAATATGAAATCAATGCTTATATTTACATTCTTTTTCATACTTGCTTATTTCGTTAATATGACGTTGCAAAATTAAATAACGCAAAAATACATTGCGAGGAAAAAGTGACAAAGTAATTTCAATCGCACATTTGAAGTATCTTTTTTAAAGTTAATATAGCATTGAATCAAAACATTTTAGATTTTGGTGTTCCTGTGTTTTAGAAAATGCACATATAACGCATTCCAAAATCAAAA